GGGGGGGGGGGGTGTAGCAAGCAGCTGGATGTGGCTGCAAGGCCCAGCTCCGCAAGGCCCAGAGTGGTTGCCCTGATTCGCACTCCCTCTAGGGACAGTCCTACCCACACTTCAGAATGATGGTGGGAGCACTTGAACTAAAGCTTGTTGAACACACCACCACCACCACCATTTTGATACACAAGACACAAAAGGCTGCTGGAGCACGGTAATTACCACACTCCAGCAGATTCAATTAAGCATTGGAGCAGCCTCCATACTTGTGTACAGGCAACCTGAGTGTCCTGTTCCCTGTATTAGACTCTATGAAGAAGACAGCACAGCTTGTATTTGTTAGAGTGCAGGGATGTTTAAGGTACAGCAAGATTTTACAGCCAAGACAAAAATTCTTCAAATAATTGATTCTTCCAAGCACATTGATACAACTTAAAGGTGCAATAGCATTGATCTGTGCTACAGGGCATGGTAGCCAGAGACATTCACAGGTGAAAATGGCTTGCCTTGCATACTTTTACATTTCAATCTTACATTCAGAATTTCTGTTTTATAGTAATATATATTTGTCAGTCAAAAGGAAAGAAATCCTTATTTCACATAAAAGTAATGAACCTGTTTGTGTTGGAAAGATGAGTAAGCTTATGTGATAGTTTCAAATAGGATATTACTTGCATGAATAAAAGAAGCCACTGGGGAAGTTTTATAATAAATAATACTATATATTTTTTCATAACATGTTGCTTTAAAGTGTGTGTGTTTAATATGCATTTAAGATTTTTTTTTTTTTGCACTCAGTCTCAATGAACGGCCTATTGACGATACAAAACAGTTTTCTTTCCCTCTCCAGAAAATGAATTTGCTGTGTCTTATTCAATGTCTTTTGATAAAATTAGGGAACAGAGAGCTTTTCATTCTTTCCAAGAAATGCCCTTTCAGATTCAATAATTGTGTGTTCCATTCCTCAGGAAATGAGAGAAGATCGAGATCGGTCACAATTGGACTCCATGGTGCTGCTATTTATGAAACTGGACCAGCTCGATCAAGATATTGAAAATGCTCTCAGTACAGGCTCTTCACCATCCAGCACCCCAATGTACAAACGGAGACACATACCCGTGAGCCTGTTTATTGATTCTTTTCTTCATTCTAATTAAATGTATTCAGTTATTTTTTTTTCTGTTTCTGTATCTTCTGACTTTCATCTGTGTGATGAAGCAACTTTAGTGTTCCATCACTTTACGGCTAGAGCAAGTAGCCGGCAGGTGGTTGATTAGGGCAGCCATTTTAGAGCCCAACTCTCTAGGCTAGGATATCAGTTTGAGACCAGCCATCCTGAGAGCAACATCATCCAGCAAAGCTCCTCCTCCAGGGACATCTCAAGGGTAAGGGCAAGGCTGTAGGGAAGGAGGAGGCCTCATGGTCCTGAGCACGACTGAAAACTGCACCCTGCTGGGGTAGGGAGGCCCAGTGGAACTGCCTGTGGTGGGGCAGTGCCACTTAAATGCCAGGACTGAGAACCTCCCCAGTGAAAGGTGGGTAGGAGGCCAGACACACTTATTAGAAGCTCATGAGCCCCATGGGGTGTTGGACCCTGGAGGTCAGCCAGGCACACTCAAAGAGGAGCACCTGAGCCCAAGGGGTGTAAGACCCCAGGCCCTGTGGAGACGGCAGAGTGGAGGCCAGGCACACTATGGAAGAAAAGCACCGGAGTCTGTAGGGGTGGAAGACCCCAGGCCCTAGTGTAGGGGCAGAATAGTTGCCTGAGGGAGTATTGGGTGTATTGGTCCAGTGTATTGGTGTATTGGTCCAGTGAGGGGCAAAGTAGGCCCATAGTTGAATAATCACCCAATCCCATTCAGATGAGGGCCACAGGAGAGGCCCAGAAGGGTGTGCCAGGGCTGGCCAAGCCATGAAGGTTAAGCCTGATGGCCCTACAGGGTTGCTCAAGGGAGCAAGGCGGGATGAATGTGGCCCCGGATAGGGCAGTACGTTAGAGGCCCTGTAAGAGAGGGTGAAGTGCAAGAGACCCCAGTGAGAGTGGGGCAGTGTGTGTGTAGTCCATGAGGGCAGTGTGTGAGAGCCTCAACTGCGCGCCCAGTTTAACCTGGCCTTGAGCCAGAAATTTTAACACTGTGTGACATCTGCGAGGTATGGGACATGTATAAGGGGAGGTCGCAGCATGTACATATCACCCATAACAGCAGGGCGCTCAAAGGGCAGCCTCCCTCCTGATTAACATCCTGATTACTTTACAACAAGGCATGGCAGGAAAGCAGTTTGCCCAGAGAGAGAAGGCAGGCTGATATTGATATTGGGCCTGGGAGCTTGGCCCTGTCACAATGAGCCTTTTCATTGCAGATTGCACTATTTTTCCTACAAAATAAAATTGGTGATGTGATTTACATTTTGTTTTACATTTCTGAGCCTGTGTTTACTGGTACCCAAGGCATCTTTTTAGCATTCACCCATGTAGAAGCCTAAAAGTGCCCCAGATGAAAGAGAGGGAGATCAGCAAAATTCAAAAGGTGTCAGGCTCTTTCTATTACCTCTTATCACTAAGATAAACAAGACAGGAATCAATAATATTACAATGTAGGTTTATGTACATACCACTTGATTTGCAGTTGTTAACATGAAAATAAGCATTAGCTGCAGCTTTTGTTACTTCACAATTGTGCTGTCCAGAGACTTTAGGCAGGGAGCCAGCCAGGGGCTATTCTTCCATTAAAAAATCATTCTTCAGTTAAAATATTATTCTGACCAGAATATACTGTTTTTATTTGAGTAAGTTCTTATGTTGTGGGGACTACACAATTCAGCTGCTGATAAATAAACCTTTATTGAAAAGATTGACTTACACATATAATATGAAGAATTACTATTACCTTTTTCAGGGGCTGTTTTGAGATATCACAATATAGCCTTCTTGCTAATCTTGTCTATCCCCACTGTGCCTTTTGTAATTATAAAAAAACTGGCCACTTCTTCCTCAAATCTTAGAGCAATCATTTACTTTACACCATGTTTTAAATGAACCTTTTTCTAATTTATCATTTTGTCCATATATTTGAGTTAAAATTTATGGGCAGTATACTTTTCTATCATATTTGAATGTTAGTTATTTAGTCAGTTGAAGAGTATATAGTTAATGATATCATTCCATTCATGCTTGCATTGTATTAATGATATCCATTCCAAATGCAATACAGAAAGCTTGATATTTGATATCTAATTTACCTAAAATAGAGGTATTGTAACATGCTGAATTCATTAAATATTTCTTTTATTAGTAGTACATGCTGCCTAAACACTACTGTAAAAGATATTTTGAACTGTTGCTTGAAGCTCACAAAATCCAAGTAGAAGTGAAATTACAACGAAAACAATGAATATGTCTGAAAAAAAATAGTATGCTGTTAGCTGCATCCTGAGTCCTTCTTTGATCTCTCTCATTAAGTTTGGATTGCACTCCAGTTTTCATATTGTACAGAAAATAATCTAAAATTCAGCTATGCTGAAAGATGAAGTCCACCCCTTGGCAGAGGTCTGTATGAGCTCTGGAGAAGGCCTTCTAAATTTCATTTATCTATGCATAAGTTGGATTTTGTTCATACATAAACTTTTTGAAGACAGCCTTTCTGAACGGATGAATTTCACATTACTCCTAATCCCTGTACCAGTGAACAAACTAGCATAAAAATGTCATTGACAGTGCAGTTGGAATTAATTCCATAACACTCATTGAAATGAGGGAGTGTAGAAAATATACAAAATGTCCCCTGCGGTGATTATGATAAATTTAACCTGATTTACAGATTCCTCTAAATATGGCCAACTCATGCATTTTCAAGAAGGTTTTGCAGTAGGGATCATAGCAAATTATTTTTGAGCTAGAGGAGACAAGGCATAAATCCAAGTCAACTTAGTTTTTTTGATTGCTTCTGACTGAAAAAACAGTGTGATGATTTCTGCAGATTGCAGAATTTTTTCTTGCATGTCTCCAGTCTAACAATTTTCAGGTAAAACTACTTTGTATTAAAAAAGTTATAGTACAGTTCTATTATGGTGCCATAATATTACCTGACTGAGACCCCTGACTAAGGATGGAGAGTCAGTTCTTTACTGTAACTTGCATACGTTATCCCTTGGGGAGAAAAAGATGGGTGGAAATTAAAGTGTTGTCTTCAATACTCTGAAAATAGGAAATACTTAATTTGGTTCAAATAAAAGGACATTTGTTGCCTTGACAATAGAAAGATAGATAACATAATATAAAACTGAAAAGATGCCATGACCTGGCTTATATCTGAGAACTGAAGGAAAATAGATGTTTGATGTGAGGGGAAAAAAGGAACCATGCAATCCCTGAACAAAGAATTAGGAAAGATCTATGGAAGAACAGGTACTAAATATAGCTTACAATAAAAATAGAAAACTTTGAACAGATTTTAGACTACTGTACTTAAGGCTTATAGTGCCTCTCTACTTAGTATGATTTTAAAACAGCTTTAAATCTAAAATTTCTGGTCAGATATCCCATTTGTAATTCCAACTGGCTTTTTTGTGAACCGAAAAAAAAAAATATATATAT